GCTGGCGGAATGATTGGCGGAGGTGGCACATGCTGGTGTGGGCCCCTGACAGAGTGGTCTGCCGCTCTCTGTCTATATATAAATAGTGCCTCCTCAACATCTTCAAATCCAATCCCATTTCAAATATTCTCTCCATATATATACATATACAAATACGAATAGAGAGAGAATATAGCAATGTCTAGGGTTTTGATTGGATTGATGAGCATATTCGCCGTTGTTTTTAGCTCTGTATTTCCCTGTGCTCAAGCTCAGGCTATGGTTCCTGCTCCGTCTCCTGCTAGCGATGGTATGCATATAATCTAAATTTCTCAGAATTATTCAGCGAAGTGTGCGTGTGTGTGTCTGGATCTCACATTTCAACTTTTCTGAAAAATATTTATTTTCGTACAGTTTTAGATTTGATTTTGTTTTCCTACTGTGATTGTATTTAAGTCAACTCATGAATATATTTTTTTTAATATAATTTTGTTATATTCATCAAATTTCGTCGTTCATTCATTTTCTATAATTTTTTTGAGCTTTATTCTGCGAATAGAAGTTTGAAAATTGAACAAATGAATATTTGTGATCGATCAGGAACTTCAATTGACCAAGGGATTGCATATGTGCTGATGCTGGTGGCTTTAGTGCTTACGTATCTGATCCACACCCATTTTTAATTTTAATTTAGAATAGTTGATATTTGTGAATTGTGATGGGTAGTGTGTGAAGAATTTGAGGTTACAAGTCGTTGGAATTAATTGTCTTATTATTTCATGTTTAAAATTCAAATTCTTTCTCCGTATTTGATAGTTGTAATTTTTTATTTCCCTTGTCATGATAAAATGCAGTTAACACCAAATGTCGTAATAACTCATACAGCTAACTAAGCAATTCTATCAATTTGAAAGATGGTACTTGACCAATGTGAGATTATGTAAAATTTTAAATTAAATTGAAGATTAGTGTCCAATTAGGACATTGAAACAAAATCCAATTAAGATTTCACTGAAAGTTTAGGGACCAAGAATGAAATTTATCGTGAGTAAAAATTTCATTTCCGGTAATCGTACTTTCACTCATGTCGATTAAGTAATTGCTTTAATTTTATTTAACCCCTGTTTGGGAGCGATTTTAACGAAATTTTAAGCAAAAAATTGATCGTTATATAGTAAACATAGTTGCATATAGTCACAATAATTAATTGTCTTTCTCCAATGCATGTGATGTTACTTCAACAGTCCTCCATAAAAACCCCACACCCTCTACAGCATAGTTCAAAGTACATTTTTGGGAATATATTTTAAGGCGTTCAACTATTACAATAATATGGGATTGTGTTTACTTCAAATTTTTGCTTAAAATTCGCTAAAAATCACTCCCAATCAAGAGCTTAATTGAATTATTATATTTTAATTTGATTTCAATTGCTAACTATTTGGCTCCTAATAAAATTATAATTTTTTTTCATCTTATTAATCACACATTCTTCAATAAAATGATATTACACGTAAATTTGAAACTTTTCATTCTTTTTAATAACATATTCTCAAAATAATAATAATAATAATAATAATAATAATAATAATAATAATAATAATAAT